AATAGGAGGTCTTTAAAAACTTTAATGCTCCCCCCACACTAATTAAACAAATATTGACATCTGTTTGTGCATGGTATGTACAATAGTGATATTCAATATTAATTTATTTGAGTGTCAAATTGAACCTCCATCCAGTAAGTATTTATTAAGCATCAAGTATTTTGGGGATAGTGAAATGAACACAGACCCAATTCCTTCCATAGTCAAGGAATTGCCCCTTCCTAGCCAAATGCTTTATGTCATTGACCAAGAAAGATAAGTGAACAGTCTTTAAACTGTGGAATGACAGAAATCTTTTGTTTACATAATTATTGACATCCAAGGAAATCTCAATCTACTCTGAAGCTGATTAAAAGTTTCATAATTTTTGCTTGACATATTTTCATTCTCTCCTTAAACATCAAGTCCAAACATGATTAGCCAGGACTTATGACCCTCCTTGCCAGTGTAATGCTATTTTATATCCCTTTCACTACTGCAGTCAAAAACTGAGTTTAGTTTTAATGTCACACTAGACATTATTGGATCCCTATGAGTAAGAACTCACCTTAGTGACTAGTTCTCATGTTCACCAGATTCTCCAAAGAGTACAGGCTTCTCTCCCACAGGAAAAGAAATAGTTGGCTACATTTGGGGCTGCCATATGAGAGTATTTTCCAAAAGATATCATGTAGTATGGGTCCCAGGGTAGGCATGGGCTGTTCAGTGTTGGGTTTGGGATTACAAACGCATAGAGAATAAACCAGGACTTCAAGGTCTAAGATCACAGAAAGAGAAGACCAAACAGTCCTTGGGCACTGGAACATTATTGTAACATGTCAATTTCCTAACATCACTAAGGAGGATTAAACTTGCAGAAAGATAAAAAATGGATAGTTGATGGTAAAATCCAGAAAGCACACAAAGAAGTGACAGCACTGGCTTTTGAAGAACATATCCTAGAAGAGTTGTCCTTAACTTTGTTTACATATCCTCAGTGGTATGATATACTGTTTTTGAGACCCTGACAGAGTAGATACTCAAAATGAGAAATAGTCTTCCTTTTTTTTTTTTAAGATTTTATTTATTTATTTGACAGACAGAGATCACAAGTAGGCAGAGAGGCAGGCAGAGAGAGAGGGAGGGAAGCAGGCTCTCCGCCAAGCAGAGAGTCCGATGCAGGACTCGATCCCAGGACCCTGAGACCATGACCTGAGCTGAAGGCAGGGGCTTAACCCACTGAGCCACCCAGGCGTCCTAGTCTTCCTTCTTTAACTAGTTTTTCTGGTCTAAAAAGAAATGCAATCACTAAATGAGGTAAAAAACCTTTCATTGACTCTCATAACTGCACCAGGCTCCATACCAGAATTTTATAACAAAAATATTCAGCTGAGTTGGAGAGGCGAAAATCATTGTCCAACTTCAGTTCTCAATCTGGCCCACATCTCTAATTAAACTGTTATGAAACTAGGATCCAGCACTAGTCCATACTGAGTGCTGCTCCAGAGGTACAGAGTAAATGCTGCTGACTACTGCTACTCTAATGAGTAGAGCTTGAGAAGCGAATAATTCCTTAACTGAGTATGATGCATGTATAGGGTTAAAGGTGGAGGGCATGCTTAATCTGGTAATCACTTAGAGAAAATACGGGTAATTCCTCTGGAAAGAACAAGCCCAGTTACTCATAATGCACCACACCGGGCAGTACTCAAGAGGCACCACGCTCTATGACTACTAATGTAGGTCTGGCTCACATCCACATCCTCTTGACAATCGTGTTCCCACCACCTTTTCTCTCCCCTCACCAAAACTAATGAAAAAAAAAATGGTTGATGGCACCATCTGAGAAGTAGCATAATGGAAGGTATAACCTGGACTTTTAAGTCATTTCTAGGTTAGAATTCTAGAACTAACTACTACAAGCTGAGAACACTCATTTCATCAACATTCTGCTTTGATCCTTCCTGCAAGTTGGAGACAGTCTGTGGTGAATTTAGAAACAAGAAATACAGAGCAGCCTTTCTGCCTTCTGATCATATTCCTCCCAGTTATTTAGTATCTGGCCCACGCATAGCCTTGCCAGATGCCAAGCTGTTAAGCCCTTTGTTTCCTAGGGTTTATTAATATCCATATCTGATAAAGTAATGGGGTTCATTTCAGATTTCATACATGAAGAATGAGGTCAAACCATGTCTCTTCAGCCATATTCAACCTTGTATTCTTCTTTTTTAAAGGGAGTCTCATAAAAACAAGGCCTCAAAAATTAGTTTAAAACTCATTACTGTTCTTCTCCATGGAAATCTTTAGAAAAAAGCAAAAGCTTTATGTACTCCAAAGAGAAACCAGAGTTATCAACTTTGTATTCTCACCAAGGATCTGTTTTAAACTTTTTCAAAGCCTTAGAGTGGAAAACTTTTCACTTGACTTAGGCTAACAGTCACTCTAACTCCATAAATGGATAAACTTAGATGAGGAAAATCAATAATCTAGACACAAAGGGATCCAAAGGCTCCCCAATTCCTACTCTAGGACTGTATGGCCATTCTCTTCAGATAGGCCTACTAGTGTTTTATTTTTGTATCATCTCTCTGAATGTTGGTATGTGTTTAACAAACTCTTTCACGTTCTGTACTGGATAGTAGTGCTAATGGGAAGGAAAAAACGGGGAGGAAGGAGTGGTAATGTCTATAGACACAGTCAAATCCTGTTTGTGGAAACTTTTATTGTCTAAGTGGGTTGTCAATATATAAAAAGTTCAGTCCTACTGTCCAGCATGTAAGGAAGAAAGGCCTAATCTCACTGTATGGGGGTTTAAGTAGGTGCCAAAGGAAAAGCAGTTCCCACCACCTCCAAGGAGCAGGAGCTGCTGTTCTTCAGGAAGGAGGATGCTGGTATGATTGTGTAACATTAATGGCCATGGCACACATGTTGTGTCAATCTGATACTCAGAGCTCAATCCTGTAGTCAAATCAATTACAGTCACTCCAGGAACTGAGGAAGAATGAATCCAGACCCCTCCAACTAATAGAAGCTTCCCATTGAGCACATGAGCTGTGTGGGAGTACCTTGGTGTAATGGGAGGCTGGATGATTATGGATTCCCAGAGGAATCCACAAGAGATTGGTTTTAGAAAGAGTACAGAGCTTAGTGGCTCTTCAGAAGCACCCAGACCTCCAGCAATAAGGGCTCCCCCTTGCCAGCTGCAGGCACTGTGTGAATGCCGACCTTCAGGTGCTTCCCCCAATACTGGGATATTGACCCAAGCCATTGTCCCCGTATGTAGGAAATGCCAGTCACTTAGTACAGGTTCTACCACACTTCGACCCCCATACACAAACAAGTATTTCTGATTGTCATAGGACACTTCTGTTGTTGAATGCCGCCAACATGACAACGTGGAATCTTCTGGATCCGCCTTTGTTATTGTTACATTTAGGTCCTTAGTCGTATTATCCTTACTCTTAGAGATATCAAGTTGGAGAATCCCCAAGGCTGGAGTTACTGGGGACAGTCTCCCTCCAAGAACCAAAACCTCAGTATCTGAAAGTCTTGTCATGGTGTGATAAAGGCGACCATCCCACTGGGCTCCAGTCTCACAACTGCATATTTGGTTGCTTTTCCATTCGAAGTCACCATATCTTGAAAGCAAGTGAAACTTGCTCACTCGGCAATGCCGCCCTTCCTGCTCTCCAAATCCTCCCGCACTAAGAATAATGTTTCCGTTCAAAAGGACAGAGGCATGCCCGTATCTCTTAAGGTTTGGGCCTTTGCTGTCACTAGTGACTACACTGGCAGGGAAGACGCCTGATGGAGAAGCAGGATCTATTCGAGGAAACACCTCTGAGGGTGGAAACACCAGAGTTTCGAAGAGAGTGTCTCCCCTAGAAGCGGCCAAAATGAAATAGTGGGCGCACTTCAAATGCCACTCCTCAAACTCATCAAAAGGTTCAAGATTCTCCACGCGCTGGCTTTCTTCTGAGGGGAGAAAGCAGCGATAGAATTCATTCATGTCCACGGCACAGCAGGCAGTCCAGCCAGCCTGAAGGAAGCGGTGCTTCTGGGCCTCCACGTCGGGAAAGCGGTCTAGGCCATGCAGGGGAGAACTGAGCTGCCGAAAATGCTGCTGCATGACCTGGCCAAAGGCGTCATGCGGCCTCATCTGCTCGTAGGTCACGAAAATGGCATCAGGAAAACGCTGGGCTGCCCAGGCGATGAGGGCCGCGGCATCTTTCGGCTCAAGGTAGGTCAGCACAACCTCAGCTAGAAGCAGAGTGGGTGCGGCAACGTTAAGGCCAGCGGCGGCCAGGGCCTGGTCCAAACTCGAGAGCTGTCGCAGGTCCACCCCTAGGAGGCGGTAGTCCACACTCTCAAAGCACAGCGCAGACGCCCTGGTCTGGAAAGGCCCTGTTAAAGCGCACAGCTCCGGCCTATCTTGAATCCTCTCTGCCTTGCGCCGGGCCACGTCCGGAAAATCTACTTCCCAAACTGCAGCCCCGGCCAAATGGCCCGCAGATTTCAGGCGAAAATACAGAGAATCTGAACCCGATCCCAGCGACAAGATCTGGGGACGAAGAGCACTCGGAGCCGCGCATGTCCGTTCAAGGAAGGCGCGTACACAATGCCCCACGGCGCGTGCGCGGACGTAGTAGCCGCGGTGGATGAGCGGCGCGCGCCGCGCAGTACCCGGAACGAGCAGCGCGGCAAAGGGGTCGGGTACGTACCCGTGCGCGGCCAGGGAACTCTTGCTGAGGGCGCTGCTGTCATTAGTGCTCTGTACTGCTCCACCCCGACGCTCGCGGCTCCGCGGGCCCATGGTCGAGATGAGGGAGAGGAGCGACGGTTCGTCACCGGAATGAGCTCTCTTTCATTCTGCCGTACCCACCTTGGGGATTTCTGTACAGAAAAATCACCCCTCTTCCGTGACTCCCCTCCGTGTGTGTGTGTGCGTCACTTCCGCAAAGAGAGCACCTCACCAATCAGAATTGAGGAGGGTGTAGCTTGTGCTGATGTTCGACTGTGATTGACTTTTTTTGGATTTTTCTGGGACTGCGTTTTCGCGGAAGGCTGACCCGTACGGCTTATTGTGGGCACGTGGACTGTGTCAGGGAAGCTCAGGTTGTCGCTTTTCTACAAGCCTTTCCGTCTGAAGAGAGAATTTAGCTAAGTCCTCATAGTTGACTCAACTGTTGACAGAAATCTTGAAGGGGTGAGTGTGTGGGGACTGACAACCAGACCTTGGACGACAGGGTCAGCATTGAGTAATCTGGTGGGGCAAAGTAGGGTTAGAACCACTGAGGTTGGTTGGTGGGCAGGAAGAAGAAGGGGTCGTCCTCAGATGCTAACTACCAGTACTTATTTAATGCTTTCATAGTTTAAAAAGAGATCTCATTTAAATCTGAAATTTAGTCATTGAGGCCAGGTGCAAAATGAAGGAACTTTTACAGAGGTTGTGATTCACCCCATAAATGTTTCCCCACAGATAAATACTGTTAATTCCCTTGTATTCGGGCTCTGCAAAGCTGACAATAAATAAAACACTCAGCCTCTGTTTCTCGGTTATAAAATGGCATTCCCCTCCACTTCGAAAAGTCTGTGATTCTAGGGTAATGTTGAATATAACCACGGAAGAGGGAAATCACAGAAGAGAGATGATTATTTCCCCTGATACCGTGTGAGTCTTGTCAGGGGTTTAAAATAATCATAAAGTTTCTTGAGTTGAAGGTCTGCAAGTCATCACCCCTAGGAAACCGCTTCCAGAGATATTTAGGAGATTTATAATTTATTGATTGGAATCTGGTGACTAACTGCAGGGGCTGAGGTGCAGAAGGGAATCAGGATAACTCTTTAAGTATGGTTACTTCGAAGCAGTCTAGCAGAATAGTAAGAGCAAGAGTTTAGGAGTCCAGCCAGTTTGGATTTGGATACTGTACTCAGAGGTTTAAGCCAGGATAAACTGAAAAGATTTAGTGTTGAAGAGCTCTTAATGACTTCAGGGAGAGCAGTTCCTGTGGAGCAGTAAGGGCAGAATTCATGTTTCACCCTGAATGTGAGATAAGTAAATGGAGGCAGCCAGTCTAAATTATGCTTTCAAGGAGCTTAGCTTAGAATGAAAGGAGAGACAGGGCAGTAAAGAGGAATATGGGATACAAGAAAGGCTTTTATTTATTTGCTTTTTAGGTGAAAACAAAGTACATGCATGTTGATTCCCTGAGGGAAATTAGCCAATGGAGAGAGAGGTTGAAGGAACATAAAATTGAGAGTAACTGATGGAGTAATGACTTGAAATAGCTAGGAGGGAATGGGATCTAGGGCACAGATCAGTGTTAAGGACAGAAGAATGAATCCTTTTTCTCTGAGTTACGAGAGAAGAAAGTGTACAGATAAAGGTAAGCTAGGTGTAGGTGAGGGAATTCTTGCCTCATGGCTTCTTTTATCTTTGTAAAGCTGGCAGCTGGGTTGTCAGTTCAGTGTGAGGTGATTGGGTCTAGTGGAGTGCTTGAGGTGTTTGGAATTGCCTCTGATGGAATGGGAGAAGCATTACCCTGAGGTTGTTAGGCCTGGGATATTCGTGTCTAAAATGAAAGGAGTAAGTGCTGCTTTCTGGGGTGTCTCAGAGTTGATTGTGACCAAAGAAGAAGAAAAACAAATTGTAGGACTTTTAAAAATATATACAGTGCTGTAGAAGTGGATTTTTAAAAATTTAGGTGGTATTGGGGCATCTGGGTGGCTTAGTCATGTAGCGTCGTCTGCCTTCGGCTCAGGTCATGATCCCAGGGTCCTGCTATTGAACTCCCACATCACAGAGCCCCACTTTGCATCGGGCTCCCTGCTTGGCAAGGAGCCTTCTTCTTCCTCTCCCACTCCCCCTGGTTGTGCCCCCTCTCGCCGTGTCTCTCTCTGTCAAATAAATAAATAAAATCTTTTAAAAATAAAATAAAATAAAATTTAGGTGATATGTTAGAAATGTTACTTTTTTGATAAAGAACAGATCAAGAAAACTGATTCAGGAAGAAAGAGAGTGGAGCAAAATTTGTGATATGGGTAACAAAGAATTGTTTTCTGATTATTATTTTTTAATCTGTTCATTCTTACGTAAAATGAGGATAATAATATCTCATGGGTTGTGAGGATTAAGTAAAACAACCATTTAAGAAACTTAGCATGCCTGGATCATGATAAGTGCTTAATAAAAAGTAACACGTGTCTTTATTATTCTGAGTTCCCCTTTCTTATTTGGGCATGAAAAAAGTTCTCTGGGAGACAGGAGACTTGGTCCTGGCCCTGCTCTAACTTGATGAAGTATAGTACAAATGTAGAAAGATCTTATCTCAATGTGTTGCCTTTCTGCTCCTCACTCCCATCCTAGCTTCTTCCCACCCACACCCAATGTTGCCCAGGAAGATAGAATTTGGCAGGGCATGGTATTGTTGATTGCAGTATCTTAGGCATGGATCAGTGAAACAACAGTTTTTTAAATGTGTAAAGATTGTGCTTTTGGGTGGATCTCAAATTTACAGAGGTTAACGTTGTAGCCAGTGGGTAAGTAAATTTACTCAAAGACCAGTCTTGAGGGTGGTTTGAATGTAGCACAAAATAGGATCAGGATCCTAGAGTGGGATTGGAAATATATTTATTTAGTTTTTTAAAGGTTTTATTTATTTATTTGTCAGAGAGCGAGAGCCCACACCGGAAGGGGGAGCAGCAGGCCGAGGGAGAAGCAGGCTCCCCACTGAGCAGGAAGCCCACTGTGGGGCTCAATTCCAGGACCCTGGGATCATGACCTGAGCTGAAGGCAGACGCTTAACTGACTGAGCCACCCAGGCATCCCTGAAAATAGATTTAAAAAGCTAGCCATTTGTCAGATTTATTATCAGCCTGCTATGAAAAATGTCCTAAGTACTTTTTTAGGCTGTCATTCCATTGTCTAAACATAGAAGTTCTTCCCTCTCACAATTCATAATAATAAAATTGTTTTGCAAGGTTTTTTTAAAGATTTCATTTAATTATTTGAGAGAGAGAGCACAAGCAGGGGTGGCAGGGAGAGGGAGAGGGAGAAGCAGACTCCCCACTGAGCAGGGAGCCAGGCACAGGGCTCTATCCCAGGACACTGGGATCATGACCTGAGCCAAGGGCAGATGCTTAACTGACTGAGCCACTCAGGCACCACTGTTCTGCAAGTTTTAAAAATTATTTAATTTTATAAATAATTACTTTAAACCATGTATTTATTATTTTTATTAAAATTATTAAGTAAATTATATAAATTTATTAACATTTTAATTTATTAAAGTTATTTCAGAAAGCAGTCAAGTATTATATGCTTGTAAAACCTTTAAGTTGCAGAACACTGTGTAAGGTAAATTAAAGCAAAATTCTCTCCCCTGACCTTTGCCACTTCCAACCCATAATTATGAATAAATAAAACGTGCCTTGTTCATAAATGCCATCTTTCTAAGCAATATATTTTGCTACTTTTTGGAAGTAATATTATATCATAGAAGTCTTTCCCTATAGTCATAGATACTCTGTTGGACTGAGATAAAATTAATTTAGCCAGTGGCCTACTGATAGACATTCAGATTGTTTCCAGTTTTTGCTATTATACGATATAAGAAATGTATTTTGGGGGTGCCTGGGTGGCTCAGTGGATTAAAGCCTCTGTCTTCGGCTCGGGTCATGATCCCAGAGTCCTGGGATCAAGCCCCGCATTGGGCTCTCTGCTCAGCGGGGAGCCTGCTTCCTCCTCTCTCTCTGCCTGCCTCTCTGCCTACTTGTGATCTCTGTCAAATAAATAAATAAAATCTTTTTTTTTTTTAAAGAAATGTATTTGTGAATATCCTATAAGATATAGGATAATTTTTTTTTTAAGATTTTGTTTATTGGATGGAGAGAAAGAGAGTGTGCACACAAGCAGGGGGAGTGGCAGGCAAAGGGAGAGGGAGAAGCAGGCTTCCCTGCTAAGCAGGGAGCCCAATGTGGGGCTGGATCCCAGGACCCTGGGATCATGATCTGAGCCAAAGGCAGACATCTAACTGACTAAGCGACCCAGATGCCTCAGGATCAATTCTTAAAAGTAGAATTATTGGGTCAGAAAATAAATGGTGTTTTGTGTTTGTATGTGTTGATAGATAGCGCCAAATTGCTTTCCAAAAAGACCATATCAAGTTTTGCTTCCACCAGAACTTTTACTCATACCTTGACTAATATTGGATATTTTTCTTTTGAGATCCACAATTTTTTCTGGATAATTTTATAAGTTAAGTCTTCCACATGAACTTTAAAAATCAATTTCTAAGAAATAACTTGGAATATTTTGATTAACATTGAATTTAAAAGTCAATTTATGGTAAATTGATTTTACCTACAGAAGATGTGTTTTTCCATCTTAATGTTGTCTTCTATGTATTTTGGTAGGAGTAGTAAGCATGTTAATTAAACAGCCTATCATTTTCATGTGTTACTATTTATGAAGCACCTACTATAGCATTTTATTGAAATGCCACTTTTATTTCATACTGTGTTGGCCTTTCTGTGGATTTCTGTGGCTCTGTGCAGTGTTGCACAGTTTTTTAAAAATATTTTATTTATTTATTGAGAGAGAGAAAATGCACACACATGCATGAGCAGGGGAGAGGGGTAGGGGGAAAGAGATGGAGAGAGAGAATCTCCAGCAGTCTGAGGCCTTTTCTTATTTCTAGGTTAGATTGTTAATTTGCTTAAATAGCGTTGAAGGGGCTTTTGTCTTTTGAGGTATAAAGTGGCAAAATTCTGTTTCTTTGTTTTTTTTTTAAAGATTTTATTTATTTATTTGATAGAAATCACAAGTAGGCATAGAGGCAGGCAGAGAGAGAGGAGGGGAGCAGGCCCCCCACTGAGCAGAGAGCCCCATGTGGGGCTCGATCCCAAGACCCTAGGATCATGACCTGAGCTGAAGGCAGAGGCTTAACCCACTGAGCCACCCAGGCGCCCCTGTTTCTTTGTTTTTAATGTCAACGTCTGAAAATGTTCACATTTGTTTAAATAGGGGAAGCTGAGCCCAGAGCTACATATACAGGTTATCTTATCAAAATGTGTGGACGTAACGCAATCTGAAGGAAATTCAAGACCACGAAACTTGCTGGCCAAAGCACATTGTACAAGAAGAGTTTTTGGAGAAAGACCTTTCTGTGAAACCAGGATGGAAGCAGAAGAACACCAACAGCCACGGAAGACACCCTTTTACTCAGAATTACCTAAAGTGGTGAGAATTCAACCACAGAATTCTGGAGTGGTTGCTAATTATAAGGATGTCTGTGTGTGTGTGTTTGTTTGTTTGTTTGTTTTCCACAAAGAAAAGTAAATTTTACAGGGAGAATTTGTAAGATTTGTAAACTTTAAAAGTTATATATCTATATCTAGTAGGCAGTTTGCCTAGTGCAGATTACGGACATCAGGTACCTGGTAGGATGCTGTTAATCTGGTGGATACTTGAGAAATTTTTACTGACTGTATTCTCTTGTTTTAGGAACTTCATGCCCACCTGAATGGATCCATTAGTTCTAATACCATGAAGAAATTGATAGCCAAGAAGCCAGGTCTTAAAATCAACAATCAGATGACTATGATTGACAAGGGAAAGAAAAGAACTTTAGAAGAGTGAGTTTAGAGAAGTTGTGGACATACTTCTTTTTATCCCTGTTACTGTTTTGAGATTGGAAATAGTCTGTAAGAATCCAGATTTTAGTAGTTAAAGGAATTGGGTAGCCATCAGCTGTGGAGAGTGTAACTTCATATATAGCATTTTTTTTTCCAGCTGTTAGACCATTGACAGTATTTTTAATGCTTTATGTTGTTTATAAAGTTATACTATATTAGAATATTCTTTAGACCTGAAAATGTGGGCTTATTGATTTTTCTCCGTTTCCTGCTATCAGCAGGGGTAGGGGAGTGGCAAAGGGAAACTGTTTTTTCCCACTTAAAAGTAACATTTTGTTTTCAGTTATTTGATTATCCTCCCAGGTCAGTGTAATTTTTGAAAAACCAATTCTGTAGTTCCTTACAATATATAATTAGTATTAGTCTAAAATATATTCATTCAATTTACTGGGCTTGTGTCGAGTGACAAGTTTTTGATGACTAGAGTATGTTAAAACTTTCCATTGCAGATGTTTCCAGATGTTTCAAATTATTCATCAGCTTACTACTAGCCCTGAAGATATTCTAATGGTGAGAAATGAAGAATTATTAGAGTGGTTTAAAATTTATTATGTAATTTATGCCCTTCTGGTATTGCACATGAATTTTTGCTTTCATCAAGAGTCAAATGAAAAATATTTTTTGCTTTTTTATGGCAACTCTTTTCAAAAGCCATGTAAGACATTTGCCAAGAGCTAATTATAAGAGATCTGAGAAGAGAGGCAAGGTCAACGTATTCTGTTACATAGAGGATAAAATCTTGTCCTGTTTTCCACCATATATAACATGAAATATTTGACCATAGGTGGGCATTCCTTTGATATGGCTTTATCTGTATTGCTTGAGATACTTTTAAGTGCCTGGGTGACAGTATAGAGAATGAAGTTCAGAAGTACTTAGAGATTGAATTCTCTCTGGGAGTGAAGAACTAGAGGACACCACTGTGTTCTCTTACTTGTAGCTCTGTGATACTACTCTCTGATATGGAAGACTGGTTTCTGTATCATTGTCTGACTAGGGTGGTATTTTATTTTATTTTATTTTTTTAACTGTTTTATTTATTTGTCAGAGAGAGAGAGAGAGCGCACACACAAGCAGTGGGAACAGCAGGTAAAGGGAGAAGCAGGCTCCCTGCCGAGCAAGGAGCCTGATGCAGGACTCGATCCCAGGACCCTGGAATCAGGACCCAAGCCAAAGGCAGATGCCCACCTAACTGAGCCACCCAGGCATCCCTACGGTGGCATTTTAAAATGTACTCTTTTTAAGTGGAGAGAAACGGAATCCTTATTAGTGTTCTTAACCATTAGGAAAAAAAAAATGTGGAGTAAGAGGAAAACTTGTGTTTCTGGAAAAATAACTTTTGACTGGTCAAGAAAGAATTTTCCTTCTTGGCTGAAACTGATCTCATGATAAGTATTAAGTAAATTAATCACCTTTTGGTGGAGAATTAGCTCTAAAAGTCTAATTCAACAAAAGTTGCCCAAGTGCCCATGGTGTTCTGGGCACTCTGCTAAAGACTGGGAGGTAAGATAGATGGACATGGTCTCTGGCCCCTGAGGAGAGAGAGAGAGACATATCCATAAGCAGATAAATCTGACATCATGAGGTAAGCTATATGTTAGAGATACATACAGGGACTTACAGGAACCTAAAGGAGGATTATCTAATTAGCCACTCAGCAGACACTATTGAATGCTGCTAGGAATGTCTCACTTTCTTTTGTTGATTGTAACAGAGCAAAACTGATGAAATCCTGGATTGTGAGAGCTTATGTAGGGCTACAGTAATGCCACACTCATTATTTTATTACTTTCAAGGCTGGTAAAAAGCTTTATTAAAATGAAGTAAGGGGGCACCTGGGTGGCTCAGTTGGTTGAGCATGTGCCTTCAGCTCAGGTCATGATCCTGGGGTTCTGGGATCGATTTCCACCTCAGGCTCCCTGCTTCTCCCTCTCCCTCTGCCCTGTTCCCCTGCTTGTGCTTTCTTTCTCTCTTGCTCTCTCTTAAATATATAAAATTTTTAAAATAAAATAAAACAAGATAAAATGAGGTAAGGAGGGGTCCCTGCCTGGGTACTTGGCTCAGATCAGGATCTCAGGGTTATAAGATTGAGTCCTCCTTAGGCTCAGTGCAGGAGTCCGCTTGGGGATTTGCTCCATCTGCCCCTTCCCCAACCCTTGCTGAATCATGTGCTTGCACATGTTTATATGCGCTCTCTTTCTCTCATATAAATAAATCTTTAAAAAATAGAAAATAAAATGAGGTAAAGAATTAAGATTCTGTGATTTGACTTAGTGGTACTAGAATGAGCAACTTTAGGTGGTTCAGAAGGATGACACTGAGAGTGAAGATAATGACATTTACATATAATAAATGAACACTATAGGAATAAGCCAAGAGATTCTTTGTTGTGTGTGGATCACTTAACAGTCTAGTCAAGATGATCTGGATGTAATCTGAAAGAAAAAGGATTGGAATGTGCTTGAAATAATAATATTAACTATTACATGTGCCAGATACTACATTCAAGACTGCTCTCTGAAGTGGGTATTTTTATTGTTCCCTTTTTGCAGATAAAAAAAAAACCCTGAGGCTTAAATTGATTACACGTAACTTGCTCAAGGTCACTCACAGAGAGAGCAAGTGGTAGAATTGACTGTCTTTGGTTCCAGAGCTTATGTTCCTTCTCATTCAAGAGATGCAGTCTTACCATCCTTTGAGTAAGCAGAAACTTAACTAATTGTGATGTACACTGTCTGAAGAAGGAACTCGAATAAGAGTTGTCCTTAGTACCAGTTGCAGCATGGAGCAGAAAGGGCTGAGTCCAGCAGACACAGATGTGGAGCAAGGAAGTGTTATTGGGCATGGGTAGGGATGATTCCACAGGCCTTGCTAGGACCTAGATAAATTGTCTCATTGCTCTCATTCCATACTTGCCAGCAGCCTTCTGTTGTTTTATTTGGTTTCACTGGCTGCTCAAGAAACGAAGAGAGGGGGCCTTGGATAGTAGCTATGGTCTCATCACTCACTGAGGACTGCCACTTCATACCCTCACTTCACCCTCCATGTCACTGCATACATAACAGATAGGTTTCTGCATTAGCCACTTGTGAGCTGGAGTAGAGGGAGTTGGCTTCTCTGTGTCTGCTCTGGAACCAGTAACTAGATGCAGTTCCGTAGCCGCATAGATGAGGCCCACACTCTGGTGGTAGCATTGGCAGCAACACGGAGTTTGGGGAGCACCAGTTCCATGGGGTCCGGTGCCTGTGATGATGGTACAGAAGCTGCAGGGTCATGCTCGGTGGTGGAGGAAGCAGTGGTGTCTTGCTTGGTCCAAGAGTGTTACATGATTTTGAATGCTTTTGTGTTGTCCTGAGTTGTATAATCTCTGAGGCTGATTCTCCAGACCTCCTAGTGAATCTCAGCTTAGTAATATTTATATTCTAATATTACAGTAAATTCCTTTTTGGCTTAGGTAAGTGCATGTGTACACAGACACACCCAATGAAGCCCAGACCTTGGATTACAATGAATCCACTAAAGTAGTCCCACCTTGTTAGGCACTGTCTACACAGTTGGCCAACCCTTGCCAGGACGTTGCACTTGCCCACTTATATGCATGTGGTCAAAACAGGTTAAGATTAGGATACCAACTACAAGCACTAGCTAGGGCTGGTTGTCACAGCGTTTCCAACCTGGTCCTTTTTTCTTCTAGATTTGGTACTTTTTTAGGATTGATTGCAGAGAAGGAAAACATGCCCTTAATCCTTTTGATATCTTTTACCCTGGTAATTTAGTCATTTTTGGGTTGTTTAATTTGTGCTAAATTGGGTACCATTTTACTCATATTTATCACCGATTCTCTTTGCCAAAGAGAGTTTTCTTAGTACTCCTAGGGATAATTTCACCCTGCCTGAAGAAACTTTTGAAAAATCCAACTTATTCATAAATAACTTGAATAAGAACCATAAGCCATGACTTTGAGTGGTACATCAGTAATGCCTAATTGTTTCAGCCACTTATTTCCATGCATACCTTCTTGTACTGCACTACACACTCAGTTTTAGTTTTGCCTCATTTCTTTGTCTTATTAGCTACTGTTATGAACACTAGAAAATGGAGAAATGGCTAAAAGGAGAGAGAAAAAGTATGTGAGATGTGCAGACTTGTTTGATGTGAGCAATCTCCAGCAAGGGTTGTGACAAAGCAGGTCATCTTAACCACATGAGAGACTTCCAACATTTTTTGCAGATCAAATCTAATGCGTGAAATAAAGCTGTAGCATTTGGCATTTTCATTGGGATCCTTTCACTAACATTATCAGTATTGTGTCCATTGCCTTAACCATCAGGTCACAAAAGATGTCATTAAAGAATTTGCAGATGATGGTGTGAAGTACCTGGAACTAAGGAGCACACCCAGAGGAGAAAATTCTACAGGTAGAGTTTAATTACGTCTCAGCAAATGTACTTTTTTCCTCTGTGCTTTGATGATTCGTGTGTTTGTAAGTTGAGAATATGAAGCACTTACTTTTACACTGTAGTAGAGTCAACAGTCCAAATCTTCTGATGTGCATTAGTGATGTACATTATTAATGAGTGAGGTGTTAAGTTAAAAAGTCAGGTCAAGGATTATCTGTTTAAGGGAAATTAAAAGGCCTGCAAAAATTTTGCTGGTTCTTGTTTTTTCCTCACTCTGAGGAAAGAATACTTGCTCCTTATAGTTACATTGTCTTAAACAGAGGCTACTTCTTGCTCCTTGTATCAAGGGCACTTGTGAGACGGTGCCACTGAGTAGATGCTGAATCGTGTTTTATGACAATCACAGAAATGAAGGTTTTTCAGTCATTGCATGGAGACTGATAGTGTCTTGTGCCAGGAGCAAGTGGTGATGTGGTAAAAACTCTCTGGATGGAGATGCGTGCATCTGGATGTGGTCTGGAGAAACTTCCTGGAACCCTCTTTTCATAAGGGCAGAATGGAGAGATATTATGTGGTGTCATTGGGTTCCTCTTAGTCCCTTGTCTGTGACCTGAAAAGGCTCTGCCAGTTCATCTTGTGACATGTACAACCCAGTCATTTAGGGGATAAGCTTTTTAAAACTCCATAAAGTAAGTGTTGAGATGGGACAAGCAGAAGATTCTTATCTCACATTTTTAAATTGTAGGATCAGTTCGAAGTTACCTTGGTAAGGATAGTGAAAGGGAAGGAGAGAAGAAACCTGCCACTTCCTAGAGCTAGTTTGCTCTTTGAATGGAGATTCCAAGAGGGATGTTAATCTGATACGCAATAATAGGGGAATAGTTAGATAAGGGTTAATGGAATATGAGGCAGCCACTAAAAATATTTGCAAAGCTACTGTAAAGACTTGGGGATAACACTCAGAATATAGGACTGTATTAAACAACTGAATAGGATACATACATACCTGGTAGCATCTCATCTATTAAAAAAATATGTATACTTAGAAAAACAGAGTGGTTATCTCTGAGTGGTGGAATTACAGGTTACTCATTATTTTTTCTTTATAATTTTCTGTGTTACTGGAGATTTTCTGCCAAAAATAAGCATTCTGTGATTGGGTACAAGAGTATTTTAGAGGAAGTTGTTCTGGAGAGTGCTCTTTCAGAGCCCCCCAAAAGAAGAGGACTTGTACACCCAAAATTGGAAGAACTGCTCTAGTGCCCTGGACAGGAAACACTGAGCCTGACCAGGGTTGAAGAGACAGGAGCCCAAGGGGGCATTTTTTTCTGGACCAGCAGGAGAACATTGTTCTAGTAGAGGAAAATGGTTTGTTTTTGTTTCTGTTTTTTTTTTTTTTTGAGGCCAAGCCTTAGAAAAGGGCTATTCCTGTGTTGTTAGAACAGGCATTTTAGATTTTTACAGCAGTTTGTGCGATGGGTTTTTTTTGTGTTGTTTCTTTTTGTTAGTTTTTAGTTTTTATTTTTTGTTTTTTTAACTAGGCTCCACACTGAACACGGGGCTTGAACTCACGATGCTGAGATCAAGAGTTGCCTGCCCCACCAGCTGAGCCAGCCGGCGCCCCATGAGGGCAGTTTAATGTCTGTTGGATCTAAGAATAATTTTTAAATGGGCTTATATTTTGTATGTCTTTCTTTCCATTTCTGCTTTTTAGTACTTCATTTAAAAAAATTTATTAAAGTACAGTTAGCATTTATGAAAATGTACCCATAGGACTATGTTTTAACTCCTCTCTAATCATGCCCTTGTCACAGCATAAAGTAAAAATGTAATTTTTCATAGAGGGATGCTGATGTTGAAGGATGAAATAGTTGATTATCTCTTTACAAATACTTTCTTTATGTCCTTTCCAGGAATGACTAAAAAGACTTATGTGGAATCTGTACTTGAGGGTATAAAACAGTCCAAACAAGAAAACATAGACATTGATGTTAGGTAAGAAGCATTGTACCTTAGTGTTCACCATTTAAAAAAACTAGAAGGTGAAAATGTTGTTATTTTGATCATGAGTGTAATATATTTTTATAAATCAAACAATAACTGACTTTTAGAAAAATGGAGTCAAGAAATCTATTGCTTAAAGTTGAGACTGAAGTTCTGAGTTTATTCATGTGGCAAAACATTTTGAGTACTGTTGCTCTAGAGAAATACAGTTTCCCATTGCTCTTCAGCCAAAATCCAGACTTCTTACTGTGGCCTACATGGTCCCATGTGATTTGGTTGCCTCTCTTACTTCAATAGCCTTATGTGGACCACTTGTCATTATTACACACTGGTTTGTTCTCTGTTCCTCAAATAGGCCAAGAATGTCCCATGTCAGCATCTTTGTACATCCTGTTACTTTTGCCTAGAACACAGTTCCTGCCATATCCTTGCATGGCTGGTTTTTCATTATCAAGTTCTCAATTTGGCTGTCACTTCCTCAGAGGGCCCTTCCTTGACCACTTTATCTAAAGGTTCCTCCCACCCACCCACAAATCCTCTAGTAATCCTTTCTATTTCCTTATGGCACTCTTCTTGATAAGATCAGAAATTATCTTGTTTTATTTGTGTGTACATACCTACCAGAGTATAAATTCATGAGGCCAGGAACCTTGTCTTTTGTTCACCACAGTACTTAGAAGAGAGATGACACAAATCAGGGCTCAATAAGTCCTTGAAGGAAGAAAGCTACCTGTATAATTTCTGGCTATAAAATCTCTCCAAATTAAGCTTAACTAGACTAACACCCACACCCTTCCCAAAAAGAAGCAGGCAAAAGAAAAGAGAATTCAGAAAAGAAGACCTACAAATGACCAATAAGTCTGTAGGGAACTATTTAATCTAACTAATCAGATAATTTTTTTTTTAAAGATTTATTTGAGAGAGAGAGAGAAAGTGTACAGGCGATAGGGGAAGGTCAGAGGGAGAGGGAGAGAGATTCTCACCCAGACTCTCTGCTGAGCATGGAGCCTGACATGGGGCTAGATCTCACAACCCTGAGATCATGACCTGAGCCGAAATCAAGAGTTAGACGCTCAACCGACTGAGCCACCCAGGCATCCCGATCAGATAATTTTAAAGATTTTTATTTGTTTATTTATTTGACAGAGACAGAGACAGAGAGGGAGCACAAATGGGGGGAGTGGGAGAGGGAGAAGCAGACTCCCCACGGAGCAGAGCCCATTGCAGGGCTCAATCCCAGGACCCTGGGATCATGACCTGAGCTGCAGGCAGACACTTAACGACTGAGCTACCCAGGCGCCCCCCAATCAGACAATTTTTTTTTTTAAGATTTTATTTATCCATTTGACAGAGATCACAAGTAGGCAGAGACAGAGAGAGAGGGAAACAGGCTTCCTGTTGAGCAGAGAGCCCCATGCAGGGCTCAATCCCAGGACCCTGGGATCATGACCTGAGCTGAAGGCAGAGGCTTTAACCCACTGAGCCACCGAGGCACCCATTAGACAATTTTAAAAAGAAATGTTACAATGCCATTTCTGTAGCCCCCCTGCCAGAAAACAGGGTAATGACCACTGTTTGTGAACTTACGCACTGCTAGTAAGCATATATGATAAATAAAACCTCTTTAAAAAGTAGTATGTATTAAGATGTATAAAAATGTTTCCTTCTGACCCAGTACTCCACTTCTAGAAATGTATCCAAAGGAAATAAGTTGATTTTTGTGTAAGAGTCTTTATTGTAGTGTTATTTATTTATTTGTTTATTTTAAATATTTATTTATTTTAGAGAGAGTAAGAAAGTGAGAGAGCACAGGCAAAGGGGAAGGACAGAGGGAGAAGAAGCAGACTTCCTGTTGAGCGGGGAGCCCAACACTGGGCCAATCCTAGGACCCCAGGATCATGACCCAAGCCCAAGGCAGATGTTTAACCAACTGAGCCACCCAGGCACCCCTATAGTGTTATTTATAAAAAAGTGGAAAATATCCTAAAACATTTAGCAGAAGACAGTTATATCATGTTATGGTCATATGATTTATATTTTCTAATATTTAATGTTAGGATAAACTGTGAATTAAAAAAAAGACTGCAGTTATATATCATTGATCCAAATTTGATAAATAAATAAATGCTGGAGGAATTTTGTGTGTGTGAAAAAAAAGTAGATAAATTAATAAATGTGGGAGGAAAATTATGCAATATTAGCAGAGATTCTCTGGGTATTAGATGGCTTGTAGAATTTCAGCTAACATGAAGAATGAACTTGTATCAGCTATTGGATATGTGTTAGAATATTGCCAATTTTTTAACACTTACTGAAATAATGAATCTAAGCCTCCTAATGAAATAACACACCACCACTTATGAAATAATCTTGCTAAAAAATTGAATCTGATCAAGCCTCTAGACTAGATCCAATTTTCAATTTGTAGGAGATACAAGAGACAGAAGAAACAGGTTAACAATACAGGAATTCACTCAGCAAAATGACTATTGTAGGAGACTATAGAAAAAGGATATGGTTTCTTTAAATTCAAGAAATAAATTCAAGAAAAGCGGTGGGGTTTTGCGGAGAAGGGAAGGTGGGGTGTGGAGAGAGTGCCTTCAGAATAAATCTGAAGTCCACTGTGGACTTCAGTTGAATTCTGAATCAAACTAAAAAACAAATGCAAGAATAAAAAAAACATGAAACATTTAAGAATTTGAACACTAACTAGATGTTTGGTACTATTTCGAAATTTATAGTCTCATGCCCTCTGGCAGAGTAAGCTGTCCTGTCAGCCAGGCTGTATTTCTACTAAGTGACTTACATGTAGCCTGCCATACCTCTCTGGCCCTACTCAGAGTTGTTTTTTTCATCCTCACTATATTTGTTTTCAACTATGTTTTTCTTATATTAAAGGTATTTAATAGCAATTGACAGAAGAGGTGGCCCTTCAGTAGCCAAGGAGACCGTTAAACTTGCTGAAGAGTTCTTCCTCTCTGCTGACAATACAGTTCTTGGCCTTGACCTCAGTGGAGACCCTACTGTAAGCTGTTTTTCTTAAATACATTTTATTTCTGAAAAGTAGAATCAGTTTGTGGGGGTAAGTATTAGGTTGGGGCATCCTGCATTCTCCAGAGGTCTAGCAGGCTCCCAGTGGATGAAGACCTATTCTTAAATAAAATCTTAAAAAAAAAAAAAAAAAAAAAAAAAGGTGGATGGTGGGCAGCACCCGGGTGTCTCAGTCAGTTAAGCATCTGCCTTCAGCTCACGTCATGATCCTAGGGTCCTGGGATTGAGCCCCACACTGGGGCTCCCTGCTCAGCAGAAAGTCTGCTTCTCCCTCTCCCCCCTATTCATTCTCTCTCTCTTTCAAATAAATAAAACCTTAAAAAAAAAAAAAGACCTATTCTGCCCTGGATGACCAGAATGTCTATAGCAGCTGTTCTCAACCAGGGTTCTATGGAAGAATTAAGCCCTCTAAAAAAGAAAAAAGATTTGAATGAGAAGAGAGAAATTAAGTCATTACATACAGTGTATATCTAATAATTAGTATTTGATTATGGCTATGCCTTAATTATCTCACAGAACCCCCAGTTGAGAAAGGCTGGCCTAGAGTTTCTTGATTGTCAGATTCAAACACACTTATGTCACTATTGACATTTTGGGCCAGATAATTCTTTGACCTGGGAGAATGTCCGGTGTATTGCAGCATGTTTTGTAGCACTCCTGTCTTCTCTACCCACTGGACACCCGTAGTACCCTCCTAGTTGTGACAACCAAAAATGTTTCCAGATACTACCAAGTTCCGGGGTTGGGGCGGGGGGGCAAAATTGTCCCTGGTTGAAAACCACAGGATTTAGATTGTCCCATGAAACTGGTTCTTAAGGCTTTGTCTAAACCTGGACCATTGTGCTCTCGTTTCATTCATCCATTTGGTAGAAGCTTTCTTTGCTGTAATCATACAGGTTCCTAAATCAGGTGGGTTCTCCTCCTTAGCACTAGATATCTAGATTTCCTTACAGAAATAAAACTTGGTGACCTCTATATCTAGTGTGGCTGATGGACTTCAGGTTCACTGATATGGGACTCAACATTCTTGACAGCAGGGATTGTTTTTGCGAGCTTTATGTTCCCTAAAGTGTCTGGCACACTGTAGGTGCTTTATAATTGAAATTTTCAAATGAGTCAATCTGCCATTTTTTTCCTTGCCATTATTTTATTCCTTTGTTTATTGACACACAGTAGCTAGTTCTTCAGTCTGCCTAGAATTTTCATGCATCTTCGTTTTAACTTTTATCTTCAAGGTAGGACAGGCAAAAGACTTCTTGGAACCGCTTTTAGAAGCTAAAAAAGCAGGCCTGAAGTTGGCATTGCATCTTTCAGAGGTAAATAATATTGTAAAATTAGGCTGGAGAAGATGGATTATGGTGAAAATAATAATCATTTGTAAATGGCTAAAATTAAACCTGGAGGTAAAAGAAAAAAAAAAAGAAAAGGAGGAAAGTAGAAATTTTTTTAAATGTAAATTATGATAAAGGTATGACTTGCTTTAGTCCCTTGTTACTGTTTTTATGTTTTTGTCATTCATGAGGGTGGCTATTGACTCACAGTATCACTATGTCATTAAAAAAGCTATTGACATCTTACTAGAGAAAATGTGAAAGTTTTCATCATCAGTCTTGTCATTGGCAAGCTATCACTGAGAAAAACACCAGTTCATCTCACCGTCCTCGTAGGGTAAGGGACCTGAATGTATCACATGCACTGGCAAGAAAAGAAGTAGCTCATTATTATTTTATAAGGCTCATCAGAAGATTGGGTGCCCATCATTGGGCCCCAGCTCCTTGGCAACATGAGCACAATGACAGATAATGTAGAGATAATGGCTGGAGAACAGTCACTTTCTTAAGCACATCCCTGTGAGGCAAACAAGGGAGTCAACTACACTTTCCCCCATTTTACAGATGGGTTTACTTTATAACGCAGTACTTCTATTGTTTTTTTTTCTTTCTTTCTTTTTTTTTGACATACATTTTCTTTTTTCTTTTTTGTTTTTGACATACAAAAAGCTGTACATGATTAGTGTATACAGATTGATGAACCTGGAGTTTATTGTCTCAAGTGCAGGAAATAATACTTAGGCTATTTTCCTCACAGAGTTATTTGTATTAGATGCAGTAATATATAAATGTTGAATAGCATCATGACTTAAAAATTAAGGAAAAGTTGGAGCTTCTTGTCAATACTGATATTTTCATGTCTATAAGCAAAGAGTAATCTGGTGGCAGAACTTAAAAGGTAGGATCTGTGTTTCCACACTGAACAAAAAGATCTGTCACTCATAGGACTTCCTCTTGCTAATGTAACTGATGTCTGATTGAAGCTTATGGTCAATAAAATGGAACAACCAGCATGTGTTACTGTGACCCGCTATCTGTGGTCTTTGTGCACAGTATCAGAACCTTCCCTTTACCTTAGTCTCTGTTGCTTTTCTTTTTTTTTTTTTCTTTTCTTTTGCCAATTTGTTTCCTTAAAAATTCTTTTTAATATTCTTTATTCTGTTGCTTTTCTTGTTTGATCCATTGGATATGAAACACTTCATTTCCTCATGTTATGGTCATTTGTCTTACAGGCTGTCTAGTAGATAGAGTACATCTAGACCTTTTCATGGTAGTTGTGGTATGTATGTAGCTACCTGTGTCAAAATAAAACATGAATGGGGCACCTGGGTGGCTCAGTCCGTTAAGTGTCCGACTCTTGATTTCCACTTAAGTCATGATCTCAGGGTCATGAGATCGAGCCCCACATGGGTTCTGCATGGAGTCTGCTTGAGTTTCTTTCCTTCTCCCTCTGCCCCCCACTCCCCCTGCTTGAGCTCATTCTGTCTCCCTCTCTCTCAAATAAATGAATAAAATCCTTAAAAAAATAAATAAAAAATAAAATAAAACATGAGTACACTACACAGAGAATCTGGGCCCTGGAGTCAGACAGAGTTCCATGGCCTTAGATAACTTAAAAAAAAAAAAAACAACTTTATATTTCAACTACAAAAGTTAGGTATATCTGAAGAAATCCCAAGTGTAGAGAAGTATAATATAGAAGGAAAAAATAAAAAAATGAAAGGTCCCTTTCTTGTTTCAATTCTGTTCCCAAGTTGATCCTGTTACTTTTTCTGATCCTGTTACTTTTTTTCATCTTAGTACTTTGTAAGAGTCTTGTGAGGTTTAAAGGAGAATTTATGTGAAAAGGTACAAAGCAGGTCTAAAAGTGTTTATTATTATTATGCTTGTTAACCATAATTATTACTATCTTTGAAACAAATCTAGAAGAATATTGGGAAATGAATGGGAAAATAAAGGCAAAGAAGAAAGCTGGGAAGGTATAGATAGTTCAGCTTTCCAGAATGCATTATCTTCTCTGAGAGACAAAGTAGCTGGCTAAAGAAAAAAGTACCTTTAAAAATCACTGAAAGGGGCACCTGGGTGGCTCAGTCATTAAGCATCTGCCTTCGGCTCAGGTCGTGATCCCAGGGTCCCGGGGTCGAGTCCCACATTGAGCCCTGCATCAGGCTCCCTGCTCAGTGGGAAGTCTGCTTCTCCCTCTTCCGCTCCCCCTGCTTGTGTTGTCTCTCTCTGTCAAATAAATCTTTTTTAAAAAATCCCTGAAAGAGATTACTTATGTTCCCCTTTTTTTCAGATTCCAAACCAAAAACAAGAAACACAAGTACTTCTGGATCTGCTTCCTGACAGAATTGGGCATGGGACATTTCTCAACTCCTCTGAGGGAGGATCCCTGGATCTGGTAGACTTCGTGAGGCAATACCAGATACCACTGGGTAAGGCTTAGGGCTTCACGTCCTCCAGACAAGAGTATACATTTGTCCCCAGCCACCAGGTTGCAACCCCTATGTGGAGAACTTCTATTCTAAATATTTAAGTGTCATTTAGAAATTAAAAGTTGCTTGGACATGTGCCTCCTGAGCCATAAAGTAATAGAAAGTTTTAGCTTCCATTAGAATATAAGCTCCATGAAAGCAGGGCTTTTTTTGTCTGTCTTGTTCACTGCTAGATTCCCCAGTTCTTGGAACTCAATAATTATTTTACTGAAGGAATAAGAGTCATCTAGTATTTTAAAATGACTTTAATGAAATTAATGTGTTATAAAAATGTATGACATTTATTTAAAAATTAAGAATTATGGAAGATTCAAGACATAGTTTTATATGTGTGTTGACAATTACGTATTTGTCTACATGTGTATTTAACAACAAATACTTATGAAGTAAGTGCCTGTTCTGTTTCAGTTACTGTTCAAATTGTTGGGAATAGAGCAGTAAACAAAACAGGCAAGGTTTCTTTCTCAAGGAACTTATATTTTGGCATTGGTAAAAGAGACAGTAAACAGTTACACAAGAAAATGTCAGTGTTTGAAGAAAATTAAACAGTTTGAGATAATAGTGATGAGATAACCACTGGTCAGTGTTATGGTTGGGAAAGGCCTTCTCTGGAGGAAAAAAAGCAGTTGGCTGAAAACCATTTTACTGAATGATCAGTTTGCAAAAACATTTGTGTGTGATGTGTGTTTTTTAATTACGTATGGAGTTTTCAGCAATTCATAATGAGATTTTTTTTTCTTTTTACTAAGGACATTTTTAAACATCTACAGAAGTTGCAAAGATGGAAACACTTGCATAGTGATTAGTGCGGTAGTTCAGCTTTGTGCCCAGCCATGTGAGGGGGGCAGGCTGCCATCCCTTAGACTGAGTTGGCCTTATGTTGAGGCTGCCTTATCATACTGAGCAGATACCATCCATTAAGTCAGTGAAGTATTTCTGCTGTGGCTGGGGAGCCCAGTGTAGTGTGTCAAGGCAGGAATTTGTTAATAGAAGTCGTTCTTAAAATGGACTTAACTTGCAGCAGACAGGGAATAGATGGTTGTCTGAGTAAAGGAGTTTAGGGGTTTTCTTTAAGTCCATTTCTGCTCTTGGCTTTTTATATAATACTGTAGCCCTCAAGCAGTGCTACCATTTGTTTTAGCCTCCACTAGAAGACCAGGAAGAAGTGCAGCAACCATTCAAAAATTCCTTCATGATTCTATCCTGCTTTCTCCATGAGGACTGGCTTATAACATTCCCCTTTCCTCTCCATTTTGGATAAAAGAAAGGGGGACGCACATAGCTGTAAAGAAGATATTAATTCCCTGTCTGGTACAGTTGCTGCCAAAACTTGCAGCACATACATCCTGTGCAACTACACTAATTGAACTATAAATTTTCATGCCTAAGGTCAGTTTTGTAAAGTAATGAACTATTGAAAATTAACATACCTCAGAAAAATTTCTCACGTATCTACTTGGTGAATATTGGTGAATGAGTCTACTAATCTGCTTTTAATAAGAGACTTTTTCCTCCTTTCATCTAGAACTCTGTTTGACCTCAAACATCAAAAGTCAGACAGTTCCATCTTATGACCAGCATCATTTTGGATTCTGGTACAGCATCGCCCATCCATCTGTGATCTGTGTAAGGTTTTGTATGAAATATTTTGCTCCTTTTTTGTTTTATTATTGTAGTAGGTCGACAGTCACTACTAGCTGTGTGCCTCGTGTGCCTTGGGATGCTGCCAAAGTAGAGGAGTGAGAGAGGATCAGGGCATATGAGGCTGCAGAGGGCCAGGTGACTCAGGTTTAGCTCTATGGGTAAAGGTCCTAGGCAGTGCCCAGAGGAACATAAAAAAATACTGATGCCGAAGTGCCCATCCCTTGAGATTCTGCTTTATCTGATCTGGGGTGAGTCCTGTACACAGATACATTTTAAAAGCTTCCTAGTGATTTTAATATGCAGCCGTGGTTGAGAGCCCCTGCCCTGGTGTTTTTGGGTTTTGTTTTAAAAAGGATAAACAGGCCTATTTCGTTATAGATATGCATGGATGCATTTATAGACCTGTTTAGACTCTTAAAAGAAGCATGGTGAAGAGGCAAATACAGACTAAACATGAGTTACTGTTTTTAAAAAATCATTTCCTTGTTAATTTTAAAACTTTGGTTTTTTTGTTTTATTTTTGTTTTTTGTTTTTTTTTTATTTTTGTTTTGTTTTGTTTTGTTTGGGCAGACCGATGATAAGGGTGTTTTTGCAACACACCTTTCTCAGGAGTACCAACTAGCAGCTGAGACATTTAATTTGACCCAGTCTCAGGTGTGGGATCTGTCTTACAAATCCATCGACTACATCTTTGCTTCTGACAGCACCAGGTCTGAACTGAGGAGGAAGTGGAATCATCTGAAACCCAAAGTGTTACCTTTTTAAGCTGCAGTGAGGTGAACTACTTTTGAATATGTGTAGCAACCAAGAGCTTCCTGCCATCTCCCACATAGTAAACTGTCCACCACTCCCTCTGAAGCACAGCAGCCAGGTACCATGGGCTCCATCACCAGTAGCTTACTCATGACTGGTCCCATGACTGGCAGGCTCTGAAGTCTTACAGAGCTTACCTCCATGCTGCTTACTGGAAGGGACCTGAAGGTGGCGGCTCTAAACTCCCCACACGGTACCTGGGTGGCTCAGTGGGTAAAAGCCTCTACCTTCGGCTCAGGTCATGATCCCAGGGTCCTGGGTTCAAGCCCCACATCAGGCTCTCTGCTCGCCTGCTTCCCCGTCTCTCTCTGCCTGCCTCTCTGCCTACTTGTGATCTCTGTCAAATAAATAAATAAAATCTTTAAAAAAAAAATAAAAAATTAACTCCCTACTCCACCAGATATTTGACTTAACAGTCCCTCTCCATTAATGATCATAAACCTTGAGGAAAATCAAAGGAGTTTGTCATCAAGAAGAGTTTTAGAATAACTAAAGATGAGGAGAGGGAAAACAAACTGCCCCCAAAACCGTTAAGCCTTGTAACTTGTGACAACAGTGCTCTGTATTTTGTTTTCCTTGTTTTACTCAAATTCCCTTCACTTAAGTATTCCCCAAAACTGCTGACTCCAGGTTATACTGTATACCATGGGTTTTTTTGAATACCCAGTAGTCAGGGTTAATTTACTTTGGATGACCCTAGTGACAGATTAAAGCTAGCTTCTGAGATTTGGCTTTGTCCCTCTCATGATTAATCCCCCTGGAATCAAGGTGGTGGGTTTTTTAAAATGTTCCTAACTTATCCCTCTGTAATTTTGACCATAATGGAGCTATACCAACCAGACGCTTCTTGAGGTCTCCTTAGGTTTCTGTTTCCTGCTTTTAATCTGACTTCTGATTGTTCCAAAGTTTTGTTCCTGAAAGAGCACCATGGTGGATGTAGGAGTAATTTAAACTCCTAACTAAAATATCTCCATATAACATGTTACTTTAAGCTTAATGATATCAGAGAATATATACCATTTTATATGTCTAAACTTTGATATGCATCTCACTGGACAGTTGAGTGTATAGGATTTTGAATTGAATAATGGAAGAACTGATTGCTTCTATCTCAGCTTCCCTTTCGTACCTGGTCACCATAAAAATAGTTCTCTACAGAGTTAATAAGACTCAGCCTCCATATTCCAACTATAGTAAAAGAGAAATGGTAACAAGAGAAAACATATAAGCGTTATTAAGTTCTGTAGAATTGGCCATAGCAAGCAATCAAAAGGAAGAATGTGGGGCACCTGGTTGGCTCAGTTAGTGGAACATGCAACTCTTGATCTCATGGTCATGAGTTTGAGCCCCAAACCTACCTGGGGGTAGAGGTTACTCAAAAAAAAAAAAGTGGGGCCATCTGGATAGTTTAATTGCTTAAGTGTTTGACTCTTGGTTTTGGCTCAGGTCATGGGGCCAAACTCCCCCTGGAGGGCTGTATCTGGCTCCGCACTTAGCATGGAGTCTGCTTGAGATTCTGTCTCTCTTTCTCCCTCTGTCTTTCTTCTCCCTCTTTCTCCCTTTCTCCCTCTTCCCCATTCGCAAGTGCATACTTTCTCTCTCTAAAATAAATAAATAAATACTTTTAAAAAATGGTAGTGTGGGGAAAATGAAGAAAAAGAAACAGTAGCACTAGAAAACAACTGATGAGGATATGATTGTTCAGCTCCTGCTAATACATCCTTATTTCCTTTGCTCTATGTGTCGCTCAGTATGTCCCCACAAAGGTCTTATGAATATTAAAAGGGTAGGGTGCACAGATCCTCTTACTCCACCTACATTGGCCTTGGTTTCTCTTTCTTTGAATGTTGGAAGACTATTTCTTGCTTCTTCCATCCTTAGGAATGCAGATTGGATAGGAGAAAAAGCCTTGTTAAGCTATTTGAGATGAAATGGGCTTTCCCCAGTAAGAGAGTTTGCCTTTGCCCAGTTCCTTAGGTACATTCTCTTCATCTGGAGGTTGGTGGGGAGAAGGGAGGCTGGTGCTGGGTCTTTTAAAGTAATACTTACTCTCCATGCCCAGTTATGACAGGTCGTAATGCACTGTACTAATGGATACAGATACAGACACCACAGAAGAATTTTCATTCTAATTTCTCTTCTACCACATCCTAATTTGTTTCTCAGTCTAGCACATAAAGATTCAAACAGGCATACTTCTGGTAAGCCCACACAGGGAGCCAAAAAAGTGGGTAAAAATTTCTTTTCCTAGCAACAACAACTTAGTAATTTGCACATGTATATTTAGTGGGGTGTGGGACGGGGCGAACCATCTGAACAAACACTGGGTACTTTATAGACATTAATTTTTATTAACATGGTATCCCTGAGAGGCAGATTAAGGTGTAAACATTATTCTGCTTTACAGAAAGGGAGATGGAAACAAGTTGACTTACACACAAGACATCTGGAACCAGAATTCATATCTGCTGATACCCCCAACCAGTACTTTTTATACACAAACTATCCATAAATATACTAAAGACAGTAATCTCCCATATTTAAAAAAAACACACACATTTAAAAGACACACTTACTAAACCATCTCAAATCCTGAGGAACTGCTTTAGATTGGTGTTTCTTCTATCTTTCTGTCTCCTTAGGCCACATAATTGAGATACCATCTTGTCCTAATAAACATTAGGAAATTCTTTGTAGTAGGATCCCTCAACACCAGACCTCAACCTCTCATCTAACACAGCAAGCTATGAATTACAGAATATTCTATCTCCCCACTCCTCTTTGATACCTCATTCCAGCCACAGGACTCTAATTATATATGAATATGAAACAGCTACTTATCCTAGACCTTAGCCATCTGTTCACATTCCTCTTTCCTCAGACCTGCCCCCTGTAGTATCTTCTCAAGACACTAGTTTCTGACCTTTGTCTCCCATAGGAGCTAGTCCCCTCAAACAGCTCATTCTTCTTCTCCAGAGCAAGCTGGCTCTTTCATCAATAAGTGCAGCACAGTATCTGATTTATTATAGGTGGATGGGACCACATCCTGATCTGCCTCCGGGACTCCATGTCCCAGTTAAGGCAGTGCTCTGCCTCGTGCATAGCCTAGATAATACTATTCCTCAGATTTTGTGCTGCTCCAAGATTTGTTTAACTTTCCTTACAGTCTGTCCTTTGCTCTTGGTTCCATCTGCGTAAAAACACCTTGCTCTCCAATTTTCCCATTTCTCACCCACTCAGCACTCAGTTTTGTGATTGGTTTGGGAATTTCATCCCACCCTAACTTACCCAGTAACCTTCCTTCCTTGAACACTTGCTGTTTCATGAAGCCTTCCTGAATAAAGAGAAGAAAATACCTCCCAGGTTTTTCTTATAGAAAACTATAATGCATTAGACCTTAACATTTATGCAAAATGTTACTAGATTTCTAGATTTCTCTAAAACGATTGCAGCTCTACATGTGCATTTATTATTTGTCCTTGTCAGTGTCATCTGTTTTAGGTTGTAAGAGTAAGGACAGGGCTTGTTTACCTTGTGCTGTACAGGGCTCATCATACTACTATGAACAGGTGGGCAATTATTCAATACTATTTGATTATACAGAGAATTTTGTGTTTGAAGAGCTTTTAGAAATAAATCTGTACATGAGTCCTGCATCAGGCTCCTTGCTCAGCAGGGAGCCTGCTTCTCTCCCTGCTGCTCCCCCTGCTTGTGCTCTCTCTCTCACCCTCTGACAAATAAATGAATAAAATCTTTAAAAAAAAATTAGATCTATACAGTTGAATATGTGCATGTGTGCAAGTATTGGCAACTCCAGTGACCAAAGATAATCTGTCCTCCTTGCCATTAGGGTAAAGAGTTGTTGGCACAAAGGGGTCTGTTTCCTAATTCATGGGTATGTGGCAGTTGTTTCTGCTCAATGCAGGTATTCAGTGACCATGGGGTGCTGTGTAACACTATACTAAGTGTTTGGAGTGTGTGAAATGCAGACAGCCCCCTACTGGCAGCTTTAAATGCCTTCTCTCATATCAACATATCCAGCTGGCTTGCTCTTTGTACTTCTGGACCAGCAGGGACAGATGAAATTCATATTAGATGGAATAGAAGAAAAAAAAATCTATCTAGAATGCTCTAAATATATTATTCTATTCCAGATATTCTAGGGCTTTGAAGAAATTAAGAAATCCAGGGTTCGTACCTCAATATTTATATAAGGTTTATACTGTTTCCCCATATAGAACACCTAGGCTTTTAACAAGATGATTCATAGGTCAGAACCAAGATGGATATTAAATTCTCCTTTAAGGTAAATGAAGAGTGGGCATGACAAATGTCATTCTGAGCACAGACTTATATGAACAAGAAAAGCCACTTTTTCGCATTTCCATTATTTTATAAAGAGCTAGACCCACTCAGAATAAGTCTCACCACCTCTCTCTGAAATGCTGCTGTGGTAAGTTTTTCCAGTTGAAATGCAGCCGAGTATCAGGATAAATAAATACATGGGATCTACTACTACATCCTCTCTATTAAGGAAACAACATAGGCACTGAGAGGTAAAGGTGTTATTTCTCATTTCCAGTGAAGGCAAGGAGAGAGACTGAAATCTTCCTTTCATTCTTAAGATAACTACCTTAGGAATTCATAGACCCAGGAAAAACAAGGACAAAGTGGGGCAAATCTTAGAGTGTTTCCTAAGCTAGCTGGGCAGAGAATAGGAGATGGATCTACTATTGGAAGACTTTTCCTAACAATTTCAATGCATGTATCTTTTCTTTAAATTCTCAGAGGCTTACTTAGGTGCTGACTGTGACAGAAGTTTTTCTCGCATATGGATCTCTCGGTGCTTATTAAGGGCGGAGCTTTTACTGAAGCATTTGCCACAGTCATGACACCCATAGGGTTTCTCTCCTGTGTGGGTCCTATGGTGTGCACGTAAGTCAGAACTCTTACTGAAACTCTTTCCACAGTCAGGACACACATGGGGTCTCTCTCCTGTGTGTATCCTCCGATGTGCACTGAAATGAGAACTATTGTTGAAGCTTTTTCCACACTCTTCACATTGATAGGGCTTTTCTCCTGTGTGGGTTCTCTGGTGAATTATAAGGCTCGAGCTCTGATTGAAGCGTTTTCCACACTCACCACATTGATACGGTTTTTCTCCTGTGTGGATTCTCCTGTGGGTGATGAAATTTGAACTGTCACGGAAACTTTTCCCACAGTCAAGACACTTGTAAGGTTTCTCTCCAGTGTGGATTCTGCGGTGTCTGATGAGGCGTGCGCTCCGACTGAAGCTTTTTCCACAATCAGCACATTTATATGGATTTTCCACTTGATGAGATATCTGATGCATGAGGTGGGAGTTTGGAACAAAGTTTTTGCTGTATCTGAGATATTTACAGGGTCTCTCTCCCAAGTAAGGTCTCTGATGATTTAGAACTTTACCTAAGCTCCTCTCTGGGAGTGTTGGTTTTCCTCTTCTCTCCCCTGGGGTCGTTTCCCACTGTTGTCCTGATCTACATTCACTCTTACCACCTTTACCCTGAGTAAGATGCCGGGACAGTTTCCTTTCAGACCTTGCAAGTAATGTTCTATGTAGTTGTACTTCCTCAGAAATATCTCGTTTTAGATTCTCTTCATTATCAAATCCAGCCTCAAAACCTGATATAAGAATAGAATTTCAAAGGTTATCCATTTCCTTAATATTATGTGCGGGGGGTAAAGTAAGTATCATATTAGATGATTAAAGATAAAAATTAGGGAGCACTAGATCCCCAGTGACTACTACCAATTAGAATTCCAGTGTTTTTACTCCTGTGCTTAGTAACCAATCACATGTTTCTCATCTGTTATAGGGGCTGATTAATACATTCTTTTAATGCTTCCTGGATACCCATCATCTTCAGAAAACTCTCAGTATAACAAGGAAAACCTACCAGATTTAAGATAGGTCCAGGAGTACCCAGGAAAACCTTGAGAAACTTCTATATGCAAAAGAGCTATCTGAGTCCCCCTCTCCTCAAATTCCAATGTATGTTGAGAAGGAAAACAGGGTAGGAAAATATATGGTGTCTTTCAAAGAACAGAAGGCCTTCTGAGAGAGAAATTTTGCTAGGAAATATCTCCCTAAAACAGTCTCTTTTCCCTGGAAGAATAAACATTAAATGTTCCCAAAGCACTACTCTAATGCCCAAGCTAAGCTTTTAATATTCTTCTAAGAGCCAAATACCAGGCTCCCCAGGCCTAGCTTATGTGAATTTGCAGATACTTGGCACGTTTTCAGTTTGCAAATTGACTTTGAATTTGCAGAATTTTCAGATGTTTCAGACAAATTCTGGATCCCAAATTCCCTGGACTAAATCTGAGAGCAAAGGAATACTGAGCATCAGCCTGTTTATGTACCCCCTAAAGACAGTATTTCTATCCAGAAGCTCAGTCATGTAAGATGCCCCTGTGAAACAGAGATTTGTTAAATTTAATGAAATCTCAGAACCTTAAATATGTGAGTGTGTATTGTGAGCCTCTGAGGAGGGTAATTTAGCACTTCCTAAACTTACAAGACATTTTTTTAGTGGAACATATTAACACTGCCATGGGACACCCTTGAAGAATGTACATCTGAAGAACTTTTTGAAAACAAAAAAACAAAAAAACAAAAAAACAAAAAAAAAAAACTATTACTTATTAAATACTTACTGTGTGCCTGAGCACTGTGCTAGGTGCTTCACCATAGTACCTCATTTACATCAACTTCAGTGAGGTACATCGTAATATGTAAGCAAACGTACAGGGTTTTAAATAACTTGCTCTGAGTCATTCAGCTGGCTAATGGACAAGAGAGTTCAGATTCACATACATGTATGACTCGAAAATCAGAATTACTCTTCCCACAAGGAGGGAAGCCATAGTGAAGTATTTCTTTTTCTTACACAACAGCTAAGGTTCAAACGGTCCATTCCCTAAGAAATCTCAGACTTTTGCCCAGCTGTGGCTGAAGAGGTTATTGGGTTTTAATAGGTATGAATAAAGCAGACATACAACTCGTATGCAAGTTTGAAGTAGAGGAAAAAAACATTTAACAAGAATGAACTTTCAAAATCAACTTCATCCCACTATGGGTATACAACATGCTACTTGGGAGATGTTAACTTTCATACTCCCTGCTAGGTAAACTGCCTACTAGCTCAGATGTAAATGAAAGCAAATTTATAAACTTTGCACCCATCAGGATTGATGATGTATTATGAGAAGGCAAGACAGGTGAATAATTTATATCCCCTCTGTGAGCTGCTTTAATAGAAAAGAAACATGGAGAAGAGAGAAGGTGGTCACAAGAAGAATCCATGAGAGCTGGGTGTAGAAGCCAGTCTCCTACTCTTCAGATTGTTGATTTTTCTCCTAAATCCCACTGTCTCCCTTCTGCTACTCAAACCTCAAAAAGTAAAAGGATCTTACCACTGGGGCTCTGGAATAAGACTGGAGCACGGGTCATGACAACCCCCAGGGGTACCTCAGTATCCTCTTCATCATCCTCAGAATCTTCTTCTATGGTCTCTTCTGCAGCCTCAGCTTGTTTCTCAGCTTTGGTCTCACTGGTGGTCTGGATGGGGCAAGAGGCTGTCTCTTCTTCCTGGCTGTCACTGGGTGGGGCAACAACCCTGGCACTCACCAAAGCATCCATCTCTTCAAAGAAGGGACAGGTCTCTGGTGCTTGGCCATTCTTGACTTTCCGATAGCTGGTCTGTAGGCTTTTAAACTTGGTCCGACACTGCTCTGGTGTCCTTAAGAATCCATATTCCCATAACCGCTCAGCCACTGCTCCATACAGCTGGCTGTTGCGGTGACAGTTCCGGAGGGTTTCGTAGAACTGAGTCTCACTAAGAATTGCAAGGTAAGTCTTTGTCTCTTCATAGCCCCAGTGTACACCTGCCACCAGAAAAGAATTTTCAGCACCACTTAATCCAGGGCTTTATAGCCTCTATTCCTCAGTCCTACCAAGTGTATGATGAAAAACCACCTAAGCTTGGGCTCCTAGGTAAAAAAGTAAAAATGCTTTGTTTCCAAAATCTATACAAATTCATTATTAGAATGTTTTGCTTCTCTATATCCCACAGCAATTTCACAGGGACCTTGATTCCTATTTTCTCTTTAGCCATTTTAAAAAAAAAAAAAAAAAAAAGTCTTTCCACCGGATCACTGAAACACTCATTACATACACTGAGTCAAGAGTAGAGGATGCATTTCCCCATTCTTCTAGTAATTTCTTTGGAATTCTGATCATAACTAGAAAATAACTGGCCAGGGGAATAAGACCTAGTCAATCACTGTCATGAGTCATCCCTAACTTTTCTGATCACTCTTTTTCCATTAGCTCTACTTCCTTATGAATTAAGTGTTTGAAAGCATGACTCAGGACCCCAAGGAACAGTCAGTCTCTTGCAGAATCACACGGTTGCCCATTCCCTATTATGGCCCTTCTTCATTTGCCACAATCTCAAAAAAGCCCAGTAATAGCAAAGACCTGAAGGGTACAAGGTGAGAGCCTGATAGTCATTCACCTTATCCTTAGGAGTAAAGGTCTGGTGGAAGCTGAAAAGAGGAAGAAAGTGAGAAGTATCTCCCGGCCTGAGCCCGTACTAGTGCTGCAGGCTTCCTTTGGGCAGTACTTCAGTAGGATTACAGACTCTGCTCCTTGCTAGTCCCCAGGCTAGAGGGAAAGGAGATTCAAAGAGTTTTCCTCCCACTTGACAGCCACCTGGAGATGCTGCTGCTTCTATCATCCTCCACTAACTGTCAAGTAAAGGAGTTGGGGGAAGAACTGGAAGACAGAAAAAGCAGTGGAAAAAGTTGAACAGATCATGAAAATAATGGTAGCTAGCATATGTGCCATGTCTGTGGTTTACCTGCATTTATTCCATTGTCAAAAAAAGAATGAAAGAAAAAAGCATACTGAGAAAGGGAAAAGAAGATAGGAAGACAAGAAACCTGTAACAGAACTGAAGTAACAACACACACATATAATAAAAAAATGAAAAGATCGCTGTTCACAGTGAAACGGCAACTTTAAAGAAGTAGTCCTGCTGCCACGCCCCATTTTTCAGGTGAGGAAGCAGCTCGGAAATGGTCAGATGACTATCGAAGGTCACCCAAGGTGATTAGTAGTCAAGATTAGAAACAAACCCCCGACTCATATTCTGGTGTTCTTTCCGTAACAACATGGTTATACAAATTATATCAACAGTAATAAATAATACTTAAAAACAGTTCCATGGGCAAATATTTCAACCAAGTGTTAAACTAAGATTTCTTACTATGTGTGTTGCAGATCTCCTGTAAGAGTCTTAGAAAATGTTTCCCCAACTTTTGGGAAGTCCTTCACTATGCTATGCTATGCTATGCTAAGTGAAAAGAAACACAAAATAAACTGACATTGAGAACTGGGGAAATAAAGCAGCAGTTTGTGTAAGGTGCTCAATAAATATTTTCCTTAAATATAGCATAGTGCCAGCAGGTTCTTCTCAGCTGTTAGTGATTTTATAATCAGGAAAAAAAATTTTAATAAAGAAATGGAATGATATTCTTTTAAAGAGCTCTAGAATTTTCTGAGTGTACATATTTAAAATATCTAAAATTACTCTGTACTATTATCTAATTTTCCCACAAGAGAATGAAATACACATAGAACTGTAAAGTGCCTGCCTCTTTGTTTTCTATTTAAAGTGACAAAGCTGACAGGCAACATTAGACTTCCTGACTGCACATGCAGTCTCATAACTCCTCAAATCTAATCCCAGAGCCCCCAAAAGAAAAGCTTCTTACCACTGGGGCTTCGAAAAAGAACAGGTGCAGTTGAGTTGTCGGGGTCTTGGGGGGTGGCCTCCTGGCCCATTTCATCACTGTCCGACTCTTCAGCCACAACCTCTTCTGCTTCCTCATGCTGCCAGCCCTCTTGCCCTGGCTCCTCTGTCTCAACATCACTGCCCACCAGGCCAGAGTGAGAGGCTGCCTCTTCCAAGCCATTACTGGGCAATGCAATGACTTGGGCACTCATCAGGGCCTCCATCTCTTCAAAGAAGGGGCAGGTTTCAGGTGGGTGACCACTCTTGACTTTCCTATAGCTCTTCTGGAGACCTTTGAACTTGGTCCGACACTGTTCCAATGTCCGAAGGAAGCCATACTCCCGGAGCCGCTCAGCCACAGCCCCATACACTTGGCTGTTTCGGTGACAGTTTCGGAGAGCCTCGTAAAACTCAGTCTGACTGAGAATTGCAAGGAGGGTTCTGGTCTCTTCATAGCCCCAGTGCACACCTGCTACCTTCTCATCCTCAAAGCCCCAGTGATCCTGGTCCACCCAGCTTCTTCTCTCTCTCTTGGGTGATAACAGATCAGCATGCATTTGTCTTTCTCCTGTGTGACTGCCTCTTGAGAGTTCCTTCTCCTTGGAGCCCAGATCAGGGAGCTCTCCTTGCTCCAACCTGGAGACCACACCGGATTTAGGAAATGGAAATCCTGCTTGCAGGGAAGCAAACAAAGGATATCACAATTTGGATTGATCATAAAAATACCTCTGAATTCAGACCTGTCTTTTTTCGAATCCAAGAGGCTTATAAAGAAAGTGTCTAAGGAAGTGTTCTCAGAAAGTTCAATGGGTTGGAGAAAGTGGGGGAAATACATAAAACCTCAAGAAAAGAAAATATTTTCCAGAGCAGGGTTACAGAGAGGAAAAGGTTCTGTTTGTGTGTTCAGAGCAAATACTTCTGTTCCATGTTGCTCCCTAGCTCTCCTCACCACTTATAGGTCTTGGCACTGCTGGGAATCTTACAGGTCTTAAAGGAGGTCTTGGTACTGCTGGGAATAGTCATCTCCCGTCTCCTATAAGTTCTCCACTTGGCACTAGAGAATTAAACTCAGAGTGATTCCAAGGGCAAAAAGAGTAGGGGAGAAACTTCAACTCATCCATTTCCTTCACAATGCCACCAAGTTCTAAAGGCTTCTCCCATAGGATGTCCTGCTCTGTTCCTTAAGCCCCATCCAAGTCTAGAACCCTTATCCTCTTACAGCCAGATAAATGCAGCAGTCACTGTTCTACCTAATTCCAGGCTCTTGCTTCCTCAGCTCAACACTATACTGCTGAACCTTAACCTGAGTGCCTCCCATGCACTGTCCATTCATATCAGACTCCTCTCTAGATCACAGCATACTATTATTCATCACTCTGGGCCTTTCCTGTAAGTCCCTCCTATCCAACTTTTTTTTTTTTTTAATCCAACTTTTTAACCCATTCTATGAGAAGTTGTATTTGCCAGAGCCACCCTATGAAGCCTTCCCTACTGCCCTCCCTCATCTCTTACTCTGCCAAACCCCTTTTGTACTCACACAAACTGACAGTCATTGGCTGGCATGGTTTCCATATAGTTCAGCTCAGCACATATTTGTTTCCAATCACACCCTAAGCTCTTTGAGAACAGGCACATTTACTTATTGCAGAGTACCTTGCAAGGTGTTAGAATGCATGGTAGGTGTTCAAAAACTGATTAATTCTGCAAGTCTCTGTTTGGGGCTGAGGACTTGCATCTGGATTGCTAAACAGAGACCGTTACAAATGGCTGAGAAGGCTAGCTTCTTGGATGATAAGATCAGAATTCAAAACAACCTTAACAAGTTGAAGAAACGATCAAAAAAACCCCAAACAGATAATAGGGAATTCAACTGAGAACAAATAAGAAAAACAAGTTCTACAAAATCAAATACAACAATAAGGAGTAGGCACAAAGACAATGGGGAAACTGGTAAGAGTCCTGAAAGTTACCAAGTAAACAATAATCACCAGTTAGTAGAGCTTTACTAAAAGAAAGTGTAGTGAAATTCTCAAGTAAAATTCCTACTCTGCCTCTACCTACCAGACCCTCCCTCAAATAATATAATTTAGTTCTCCACAATTAACTTGGTATTTGGAAGACTTCATTTCCAAAGGAGAATAACAAAAACTTAATAGATCTAAAGAATGGAGCTTCTGGGGCGCCTGGGTGGCTCAGTGGGTTAAAGCCTCTGCCTTCGGCTCGGGTCATGATCCCAGGGTTCTGGGATCTAGCCCCACGTGGGGCTCTCTGCTTAGTGGGGAACCTGCTCCCTTCCCCCACGCCTGCCTCTCTGTCTACTGTGATCTCTGTCAAATAAATAAATAAAATCTTTAAAAAATAAAAAAGAATGGAGCTTCTGAGGAAGATCTTGAAGAAACAATACAGTTCAATTTGGAGAAGGAAAATGATTAAAAAGAGGCTGTGCCTTCAAGTATACAAAAGAATTTTGATCTAGAAAATACCTAGTATCATCATTACCAAAAGGAAATAAAATAGTTCCAATTCTGATAAAAACTAGGAAGTCATCCTCTGGCAGACTTGTTGAAAGAGGAAATATAAGAATACTACACCAGAGGGCTAAACTACGTACCTTCAGGAGGTCTCCAACAACTGCATACTCTACAATTTCAACTCATTTCCTGAAATCCCTTTCCCACTCACTAGTCCCAACCCTACTTCCCAACTTAGAATGGTATCCTATCTTCCCATAGGAATCTACTCCTCACCGCTCCTTTGAAAAGGTCTGAGCTTCTCCTTTGGGTTCATCTGCTCCTGTGGTCCCAGGTCTGGGCTCCTTGCCCTCTCTTTCTTGGTTACACCCCTGGGCTGGGGTTCCACTGACTCCTGCCGAACACTTAATAACTCTCGTGATGATTTCAGGGGTGTCATCTTCTCCAAGCGCACTTCCTGCCCCTTCACAGAGACTGTGACCTAGAAACAACCCCCATTAATTGTCACTGCAAGGTTATAATGAGGGGCATTCCCAGAGGAGATTATTTAATACCCCAAAAGAGTTCATCCTTTTGGGACCTGGCTAGGTTTGGCAGGGGAGGAGGTTTAACAGTGAACATGGGTCTTTCTTATTCCATTAGCTTAGAGCAACTGGAGCTCCAGAAAGAAAAGCTCAAAATAGTAAACCCACCTACAGCTAAAAAATAATTCCCCTTTCTTCTCTCTTAAGTAAAAAACCTGTAAGACTATGAATAACTCATTATGACAGGATAGCAAAGGTACACCCAGGTAGCATCTCCAGATCAGCTCTATCTGAAAAAGTTACCTGTTCCAGGACACTAAGTATAAGCATCACCAAAGGAGATTGTGCCCCTCTTTAAAGCTGTATATACCTTAATATGGCCCTTTATCCTTGCCCCTTCCCAGTCACACACTTCTGAATTCCCCCTCCCTTCTCACCGAACGTCCAGGTCTTCCAGGCTCTCTTTCTAAATCTTCCACCAGAGCCACTGCCTCCTCTCCACTTTCTGGACATTGCTCCTGTACCCAATTCTGGATCTCCCCAGGTAAGATGGTCAGGAACTGCTCTAGCACCAACAATTCTACAATCTGCTCCTTGGTGCGCACCTCCGGCCTTAGCCAACGACAGCAAAGTTCCCAGAGTTGGCTGAAAGCCTCCCGGGGCCCAGCTACCTCCTGGTAGTGAAATCTCCTGAAGCGCTGTCGGAACGTCTCAGAGTTAGTGCCATTCCCTCTCAGAATGGGTTTGGCCATCATTCACAGCAGAAAGCAGCTTCCCTCCACTTAAGGGTTGGAGGGCTTACACCTATTTTCCCATGTCCTTGGAGAATCACCTGCAGATGAGTCTCTCAACTGTAAGAAGAGTTTCCTCCTAGGGTAGAGAGAGATGGCACTATCAGAAGAAATACACTCACTCATATGTCTAAAGTCTTGCCAAGGGTTGGTTTGACTTCCCATATACACCACGCGGCCATGTGAGGTAGCACCAACTTTAGGACAGCAAGCCAAACAGCATGGAGACCTTTCAAAAGCTACCATTTCTGGGCGACTTTCAAGGCAGCCTGGGGAAGCAGCAAAGTATAAAGTATTGTCTGCCCTTCTTCCACCTCCTCCCAAACCTGATCCCAGTCAACTCCCCTGACCAATGTTGCATAGTGAGTTCGAACCATATGGGAAACCTGGAGCTGGCGAGAATCTAAAGGCAAGTCACCCTCTTGCTGAAGGCAACAAAAAGCCTCTGTCCAGCGGGTGGCAGCCGATCTCCCCCAGTACCTCCGCAGTCCTTCCGGGGACCCTTTACATCCTCCCCGCCTCCTCAGACTACACAACTACCAATTCCCACCCGGGACAAAAATCAAGTACTGAATACTGGGTCTTTGTTTTCCCTCACAGCCTAAGTAACCGCTCAGCAACTACTCGGGAACTACTGACGGGAAACCTCGCACACTAGGAGGATTGGTTTGGGTTCCTGAAGCGAGGGCCGGTGGGCGTGGGGAGTCACAGAGTTGGTGGAGAGAGGGAGTCCGAGGGGGCAGTAGTAATGGGTCTCCTGAGGACGAGTTCGGTTGCTGGCCAGGGGCTCCGGGTGCTGCGGGGTTCGCGGGAGCGGGACTCGACTCTAGGAGCGGCGGGTGCGGGATTCCGGCCTCTTTGTCTTCGGTCCCTCCGGCCAGGTCACTCTCGGAGCCGTCGTGCGGTCCCTCCAGAGGCCTCCGACCGAGCTAAGGCGCCCTGAGAGCACCCTCCGGCCACCCCAGGTAGCGTCTCCTTCTCGGGGCTGCCCCTCAACCCACTCGCATCTCTGCCCCCGGGCCAGCCTCACCCTCTTAGGGTCGGGCCCCAGCCCCGGCTCTCCAGCCTCCCAGTCCAGCTCTCGAACCGGAAGTCCGAGCGGGAGACTCGGGCACTAAGGGCGCATGCGCAAGGGCACTCCGGAGATTCCTCCAGAAGAACCTCGGCAGGAGCGAGCGAGTGGGCCCAGCCAAGCGCGGCACACTTCCGGGACGTGGGGCGCCTATCCCGTAATATTTCCCCTCCGCTCTTCCCGCAGCAGTTGTCTTGCCTCTTGGGATTCAGGACAAATAGCCTGTCCCAGGGGCCTGTGCGCTTGTCGAGTAGGCGGCATTCGCCCCTTAGGTCCCCTGGAGGGACGTTGGAGGAGGGGGCGACGGATATAGGGACTAGAGATCCGCCGTGGGAATGATCCACGAACTGCTCTTGGCTCTGAGCGGGTACCCAGGGTCCATTTTCACGTGGAACAAGCGGAGTGGCCTCCAGGTACGGTCCAGACCCCTGCGCGGGAACCAAGGAGCGCAGAATGGGCGGGCTCGCGCCGTTACCTGGGGGAGGAGTCTGCGGGGTCGAAGGGCGGGGCTTACAGGGGCAGTGTTCGGGGAGCGAGTGCCTGGGCTGGTAACCCGGGAAGTGCCTCAGGGCCGTTGGCTCGCGGTACCACACCTCTGGAGGGCTGGGCCCCGGCTGGCGTAGAGAAGGCGGACGCGGGAGGAGGGAGCACGCGACCCTGCCTGAGGTTGAGGTGTCTGAGCGAGAGTTGCTGGGGAACTGGATGTGAAAGTGAAGGAGGCGCTTTCACCCGTTTTCACGCTTGCAGTGCTTTAAAGTGAACTTTGAAAACAGTCCAAATACGTAGCTCTTAACACACTATGTGGGGGGTCATCCAGTTTTGTTGACTAAAAAAAAATGAAGAGTGTTTCCCTCATTGCTCCTTTCGCAGGAAATTTCTGCACTAGGAGAATTTGGAAGGCGATTTTCATATAACCAGGAATGTATGAGGAGGAAGGGCTAGGTACTATATGCATTATCTCATTTAATCTTCACAATCACCTATCTCCATTTCACAGATTAACTCCCTGTATTTGGTAGCTAGTAATAATTGAGCTTCGTCTTGAACCCCAGGTCTGCTTGGCTCCTGTATCTGAACCATTTTTTTCTACTTCTGCTTTCTGTAATATTATCCAGTCCTCTTATAACTTAGTAACTTAGGTATTGTTAGCCGGAATTGACGAAAGAGCAAACTGAAGCTCAGAGAAATTTATGGTGACTAGTCCTTGTAATGGCAAGATTTGAATCTAGCTCACAAGATTTGAATCTAGCTCACAAAGTCAAGCCAATTCCAAACCAAGCAACATATTCTTAATTATAGAGAAAAAAATGGTGGCTACCTGAGGGGGAGGGACATGGGGGAATGGGTGAAATAGGTGAGGAGGTTAAGGGGTGCACTTCTTATGATGAACACTGGGTATTGTTGCCATATAGTAAGTGTTCAGATATTTATGGAAGAAAAAAAGACTACTAAAAACAGAAAATATTGCATACTTTCTGCAGAGCATGTTTTTCACAATCATAAAGGGGAAAATTGTTATGAATGCCTAATATTGATAAAAATCATTTTATTATAATATTGAATATATGTACACATTAACCTAAGTATAAACTCAAGCATATTGCTCTTTAAAAACTGTAAAACCAGGGGCGCCTGGGTGGCTCAGTGGGTTAAATCCTCTGCCTTCGGCTTGGGTCATGATCCCGGGGTCCTGGGATCGAGCCCCACATTGGGCTCTCTGCTTGGTGGGGAGCCTGCTTCCTCCTCTCTCTCTCTGCCTGCCTCTCTGCCTACTTGTGATCTCTGTCAAATAAATAAAATCTTTAAATAAATAAATAAAAACTGTAAAACCAATTATTTGTTACAAAATAAACAAAACTACCAAATGGATAAATTCAAAATAACATTAATGTATGGTTTCTCAACCTTGGCACTATTGACATTGTACACTGGATAATTCTTTGTTGTGGGAGTGTGTCCTGCTTGTGCATTATAGGATGTTTAGCAGCATCCATGGCTTCTACCCACTAGATGTCAGTAGTACCCCCTGAATTGTGGCAATCAAAACTAACTCCAGACATTTACCAAATGGGGCAAAATTGCCTGATTGAGAACTGGTGATGTAATGTGACATATACTATTGTTTTGCTGAAACTAAATCTCCAACACTGAGTTTAATAATAGTATGACTGCTACAGATCTCTGTTTTGACATCAGTAAGTCTGTGGTAAAGAATGTCTGTTCAGGGACCCCTGGGTGGCTCAGTCTGTTAAGCGTCTGCCTTTGGCTCCGGTCGGTCGTGATCCCAGGGTTCTGGGATTGAGCCCACATGGGGCTCCTTGCTCCGCGGGTTGCCTGCTTCCCCCTCTGTTTGCCTTTCCCTGTGCTTGTGTTGTCCCTGTCTGTCTCTCTCTCTGACAAATAAATAAATAAGAATGCCTGTTCATATAAGTAGGTTGTACCAAATGGTATCAATAACTTCAAAGTACTGTTTGCTGTTTCAGAATAACTAGACCTTGAACTTTTCTAAAACTCTGCCAACAAAGCACTGCTCAAAATTCCAGTTTTAATGAGAATTATCACTTGATAACTGTGTAGAGCTGTCCTAATAATAAAAAAAAATTGCTTTCATGTATTGAGCACTTGCAATGTGCATGGCTTTACATGTATTAACATTTATCCCCACAATTACCATCTCCACTTTCTAGGTATGAAGACTGAGGCACAGAGAGTTATTATAATATGCCTAAATTTTCATGCAAGTAAGCAGCAACTCAGGGGTTCAAAACTGGCACTCTGACTCCAACTATGAGTTTTGTTTGTTTGTTTGTTTGTTTGAAAGCCACAGGCAGGGCTTTATTGGGGGTATAGTTCCAGCTGAAGGGAGACACTGCACTAAACAGAGTAATTAGGTTGGCCTCCCAAAGACAGATTCTTTTTTTTTTTTTTTTTTTTAAGATTTTATTTATTTATTTGACAGAGAGAGAGAGATAGGCAGAGAGGCAAGCAGAGAGAGAGGAGGAAGCAGGCTCCCCCATGAGCAGAGATCCTGATGTGGGGCTTGATTCCAGGACCCTGAGATCATGACCTGAGCCGAAGGAAGAGGTTTTAACCCACTGAGCCCCCCAGGTGCCCCGCAAAGACAGATTCTTAAGCACTGTGTTGTTAAGCTATTAACTTGAAGATATGGTTAGTGTTGTGTCATTAAAATATGCATGAAATGGATTCCTAAGGGGCACCTGGGTGGCTCAGCCATTAAGCAGCTGCCTTCTGCTCAGGTCATGATCCCAGGGTCCTGGGATGGAGCCCCACATTGAACTCCCTGCTCCGTGGGGAGCCTGCTTCTCCCTCTCCCACTCCTCCTGCTTCTGTTCCCTCTCTCGCTGTGTCTCTCTCTGTCAAATAAATAAGTAAAATATTTTAAAAATGGATTCCTAAACATATTATGGATTTGGTAACCGAAAAATTCTTCTTTGCTCCTATTTATTACCACATTTACTATTATGTAAAGATGACATCCACAAAATACAGTACTCAATGATATAAATAGGTAATATGCTAAGGTCTTTGGGGATAGTAACTACATCTGATTTTGTTCACTATTTAATCTCGGGATATTAACACAGTGCCTGGGATAAGTAGGTATTGGTTAAATGACGGTTGATCCTCCAAAGAAGATATACACTGGCCAATAAGCAAATGAAAAGATTATCAATATGGCTGATTATTAAGGAAATACAGATCAATGAGATAGCATTTTATACCCATTCAGAAAAAACAAAATGACAAGTGCAGGTGAGGTCGTGGAAAAATAAGAACCCTTGTGCATTACTGGTGGGAACAGAAGATGGTGCAGCCCTTGTGGAAGATAATAGGGTGACTCTTCAAAAAAATTAAACATAGAACTACCAAATGATCTAGCAATTTCAATTCTAGGTACATACCCCAAAAAAGTTAAAGAAGAGACACAAACATGTATCGTATACAATACCCAGATATTTGTATACCCACGTTCATGGCAGTATTATTTGCTGTAGCCAAAAGGTAAAAGTAACTCAAGCATCCCTTGGCAGATGAATTGGATAAACAAAATGCTGAGCAAATATACAGTTGAATATTTTTCAGTCTTAGGAAGGAAATTCAGATGATGCATGCTACAACATGGATCAACCTTGGAGACACCATATGAAGTGAAAAAGCCAGTCATCAAGGGACAAATATTGTATTTACACTTATTTGAAGTACTTAGAATGGTCAAAATTATAGAGGCAAGCAATTGCCAGGGGCTGGGGGTAGGGAGGAATGGGAAGTTAATGTTTATTGGATACAGGGTTTCAGTTTGGGAAGATAAGAAAGTTCTGGAGTTGGATAGTGGTGAGGGAGGCCCAACGGTGTGAATGCACTTAATGCCACAGAACTGTACTTTTAAAGATAGCCAAAATGGTAACTTTTATGTATAGTTTACCACAATATTAAAAAAAATGTGGTTGAATGAGTACATTCTCCTACTTTGTTGTACTCGGTCTGCTATGAAACCTTTTTAAAACATAGTAGGTTATTATTTGGCCTTCCTTTCAATTAAAATAATATCCAATGAAATGAAATACCAAATACAAATGAAAATATGGACACTACATTTATATGTCCAGTTATAGGGTGCTTTTATAGATTATAGTATGTTACATTAATTTTACATTTTTATGGAAATGAAAATAAAATTTAAAATTTAATAGAGAATTTGTAAATCTTAAGAATATGTCTGAGAAACCCCTAGAATCTGTAGATCCCGGTTTGAGCAGTAGCGCTAAAGAGACTTTGTTGAAATCAGGTAAAAAAACTCTATATTCTTACAGGCCATCCCTGGAAGATTGCAAAAGAAACAAGTAACAGTAGCCACCTGTGGGGAGGTTGGCATGTTTTTAATGTGCAACACTTGGTAGTGTTTGAATTCTTTACCGAGTGTTACCACCTAT